ACTGCTGCTGCTGCCGCTACTACTACTACTACTACTACTGATGATACTGCTGCTACTGCTGCTGCTGCTGCTACTGCTGCTACTACTGATGTTGCTACTGTTGCTGCTACTGCTGCTACTGCTGCTACTGCTACTACTACTACTGCTGCTGCTGCTGCTGCTACTGCTGCTACTACTTCTGTTGCTACTGTTGCTGCTACTGCTGCTACTGCTGCTACTGCTACTACTACTACTGCTGCTGCTGCTGCTGCTACTGCTGCTACTACTTCTGTTGCTACTGTTGCTGCTACTGCTGCTACTGCTGCTGCTACTACTACTACTGCTGCTGCTACTACTACTACTACTACTACTACTACTACTACTACTGCTACTGCTGCTGCTGCTGCTGCTACTACTACTACTACTACTACTACTACTGCTACTGCTGCTGCTGCTGCTGCTGTTGCTACTGCTGTTGATAATGCTGCTGTTGCTGCTGCTGCTGCTGCTGCTGCTGCTGCTGCTACTGTTGCTACTGCTACTGCTACTGCTGCTGTTACTGCTACTACTACTACTACTACTACTACTACTGCTGTTGCTACTGCTGCTACTACTACTGCTGCTCTTGCTACTATTGCTGCTACTACTGTTACTGCTGCTGCTGCTGCTGCTACCGCTGATGCTACTGCTGTTGCTGCTGTTGCTACTACTGCTACTGCTACTGCTGCTACTGCTGCTACTACTGCTCCTGTTGCTGCTGCTACTGCTGCTACTCCTACTGCTTCTGTTGCTGCTGCTGCTGCTGCTACTCCTACTGCTACTGCTACTGCTGCTGTTGCTACTGTTGCTACTGCTGTTGTTGCTACTGCTGCTGCTACTATAGTGGGGCAGATATGTAACAAAAATAGGTCGAAATGTTCACATCCGGCAGAAAGTGTGAAATTTTGGATACAGGGGTATTTTGACATGCTGAGTTCGAAAATTGCCGGATCCAAGAGGTCTGACCACTGGATCGGCCGCCATCTTGAATTACAATATGGCCGCGATAACGAAACATTGAATATTACTATCTTGGGTTCTAAATGACCTGTGGCGCTGAAATTTAGTACACAAGGGCATTTCGACATGCAGGGTTTAATAATGAATTAATTTGAAATGTCTGACAAACCATATGGCAGCCATTTTGAATTCCAATATGGCCACCATGAAGAATAGTTGAACATTACTATCTTGGGTTCTAAATGACATGTGGCGCTTATATTTGGTACACAAGAGCATTTTGCCATGCTGAGTTTAATAATGGATTAATTTGACATGTCTGACAAACCATATGGCAGCCATTTTGAATTCCAGTATGGCCGACATGACGAAACATTGAACATTACTATCTTGGGTTCTAAATGACCTGCGGCGCTGAAATTTGGTACACAAGAGCATTTTGCCATGCTGAGTTCAATAATAGATTGATTTGACATGTCTGACAAACCATATGGCAGCCATCTTAAATTCCAGTATGGCCGACATGACGAAATGCTGAAAATCTTAGGTTCTAAATCACGTAAGGCACTGAAACTTGAAACTCAAGGAATTTTTTATATGCTGAGTTCAATTGTTTAATAGAGCAAAAAGCCTATTCCAAAATATTTTCCTCACCAATTGAAAGCTGTAACATGCCGCAAGACGTTTTCCATCTATTTTACTTCTCCTGTAGCTCACCTGGGAAGCATTGTCCGGAGCAAAAACACAGTTCTGTGCATGGTAGATTAGCCGCGGAACATTTGCAATTTTCAGCACATCGTTTCTTACATTTGCACTTGATCAGCTCTCGGCACCCCTTTGACGCCTCTGCCATTATTGTCCAAAATGGACGCCAGCCATCATCAGCATTTTCGCCCATCCCCAATCTGCAGGTGAAGGCAGCTCTGAGGGGAGAAGGGAGAAGGTGGTGGAGCAGGAAGGGGAGAAGCTGGTGGTGGAGGAATGGGAGAAGGGAGAAGGTGGTGGAGAAGGAGGGCGAGAAGCTGGTGGAGAAGGAGGAGGGGGAGAAGCTGGTGGAGAAGGAGGTTTTAAGCTCTTAAAACCGGGTTTTAAACCTTAAAACCTAGTTGTATACATTAAACCTGGGTTTTAAGAGCTTAAAACTAGGTTTTACGCTTTTGGTAAAAAAGCTTCCCATTCAAGAAGCTCATAAAACCGGGTATTAGACAACCTGGTTTTAAGGTCAAAAACTAGGTTTTAAGGTTTAAAACCTGGATTTAAAGATTTAAGGGCGTAATTCCTAGTTTTAGGCCATAAAACCCGGTTTTAAGACCTTAAAACCTGTCTAATACCCAGTGTTATGGCTTAAAACTAGGTTTTAAGAGCTTAAAACTAGGTTTTATGCTTTTTGGTACAAAATGCTTTCCATAGACGTGACCGAGCCGGGGTCGCGGGATGGTAGGTAGACAGGAGATCATCGGGTGAGTCAACGTGAAATGACAGGTGCGATAATGCTATCATTAGCGATGGCTGGATTTATTAGTTCACACGAACTCAACTCATAAGAAATTTGGCGAGTAGAAAAATCCACATCGTGACTCGGTGATATAGAGCATTCATATAGTATGAGAGATCGCAGAAAAGCCATTTAAGGGAGGGGTTATTTAGAGAGAGAGAGAGAGAGAGAGAGAGAGAGAGAGAGAGAGAGAGAGAGAGAGAGAGAGAGAGGGCGAGAGACAGGGGGAGAGGAAGAAAGGAGAGGACAATATGGAACGGGAATATATGTACTGATGCTATAATATATACTGTTGCTGCTGCTGCTGCTGCTGCTGCTACTGTTACTGCTACTGCTGCTGCTGCTGCTACTGCTACTGCTGCGGCTATTACTGCAACTGGCGCTACTGCTACTGCTGCTGTTGCTACTGCTGCTACTACTACAGCTGCTACTGCTGCTACTGCTGCTGCTGCTACTACTACTATTTCTGCTACGACTGCTGCTGCTGCTACATCTGCTACTACTACTGCTGCTGTTGCTACTGTTGCTGCTACTGCTACTACTGCTGCTACTGATACTGTTACTACTGCTGCTACTGCTACTACTGCTGCTACTGATACTGTTGCTAGCTAGTTGTTCCTGCTACTGCTACTGTTACTGCTGCTGCGGCTGGTACTACTACTACTACTGCTGTTGCTGCAGCTGCTACTGCCACTTTTGATACCGTTGCAGTTACTGCTGCTACTACTGCTGCTGCTGCTGCTGCTGCTGCTGCTGCTGCTGCTACGGCTGCTTACTCCTGCTGCTGCTACTGTTCCTGCTGCTGCTGCTACTACTGCTGTTACTGCTACTGCTGCTGTTGCTACTGTTGCTGCTACTGCTGCTGCTGCTACTACAACTACTGCTGCTACTGCTGCTGCTGCTGCTGCTACGGCTGCTACTACTGCTGCTACTGCTGCTACTGCTGCTACTGCTGCT